TTTTCTCTTGTTTGTAAAACAAACACAGATAGAAAAGATAGATGCCATTTACGTCGATACGGGTGGAGAAAGAACATTTGGCTTCTCCATTTTTGGATCTGTGTACATATGTACAACTTACTTGAATGACACCCGGTGCATCGAATGAAAACTTGTTTTATCAGTTGCGGTCATATGTAATGAAAATTTGTAAAGCAAACATAAGTAAACTGTATTCACAACTACAATGAGTGGGTGAATTTGGTTTTATGCCGCTCAAGTTTAACAATATTCTAGCAATATCACGGCGGGGGACACCGGAAATGGGCTTCACACACTGTACCCAGGTGGGGAATCGAAACCCGGGTCTTTGGTGTGACGAGCGACCGCTTTAACCACGAGGCTACCCCAACGCCCCTCAAGTACAATGAACAAATGTATTGGGATTTAGGCACGGGTGGCCCAGTTGTCTAAGGTGCCGCAATTCACAGTACATTAGCTGATCCCCTTGGCTTGCAAGAAGCCTGAGATCGTGGGTTCGATTCCAATCCGCCCTGATTACGTTTCTAGATTTTACATCACCCATTCCCTCCATGTGGGGTTAAAAACAGGAATAAACGTCAATAGATCTGCATCACCTGGGAGTTTGTCCAAACACAGGCCCACTGTGTTGCGCAAATTGGGTTGCGCAACAGAGAGAAATATGACCAGTCTTCCTATATACGAGCTCTGTGGTCCAAACACGCAGCGACACTGTGATGCAAATGAAGTAATAATGTCTCCATTTATATAGCGCCAAACTCCACACTAGGTATGCTCATAGCGCTAACAATCAAGGCACAGCACACTATTACCCCGGATAACCCAAGCTGTCTGTTAGGCGCTAGAAGGTTATAGTCATATGACTTTTTCCACCGGGTACCCATTCTCCTGCTGGGTGAACAGAGACAATTTTGAACAAACTCACTTGCCTAAGGTGAGACCACATGTGTCACATGTGCTTCATTGTGGGGCAGGACTGAAGTCCCAGAAACTCTCAGGAGTCAACCTGCCAAACACGGTCACCCATCCAAGTACTGTTATTACGCTCAGTAGCTCACTCACAGGTGTTGTTTTTCAAAAGGTCAGTAGTAAGGTCCTTGCTCTCTGACACTTGCTGGAATACCCTGCTATACTGGATGAACATATGGCAATGTACCTGACCCCAAGAGACAAACTGTTTATCTGTTGGTCACAATCTGAAGGTAATGTTTACAAATGTGAAAGGTCATACTAGTAACTTCAATGCACTCAGATTACCGAAAACTGACGAAAGTTAACGGACAGTTATATATTTAATGTTTGTTGATGAAGGGCAGTCAGTGATATTTCATCTATCTCAAGACGGCTTGTTTTTAATCAGAGAGACACGTCCGACAAGAATAGGCTACTAGGCCTAGATTTTCGAAACTCTCTTAGCGCTAAGATAGTCGTAAGTTAATGTTAATGTATGGCACTTACTATCTATCTTAGAGAGCTTTGAAAATCTAGGCCAAGGAGGCCTGTTCTTATCCTAACTGAGTGATATATAATAATAATAATAATAATAATAAGTCATCTTCTATAGCGCACAGTCTCCAACCACCAAGTGATTGCTCGCGGCGCTTATGGAAGAGTAACGCCAGTGTTGTTCTGCATTTATGTATTACATATCTGGCGGGTGTTGGTATGAAGGCTATCTGACCTTCTAAAGATTTCACGGAAGTGCAACACCTGTCTGATGTTATGTTCGTGTAAAGACAGGTGTCATAAAGACGGTACGAGCATTTGTCTTGTGATATAATGCCGGTGTAAACTGTTTGGTGTTGAGTAAGTTAGAAGACAGGCGTCAAGCACGACTTATAACTACTTCTGCAACAGAATCTCTACTGGGACAGTAACATGGCATGTCTAGGGGAACTAAATGATCTGGAATCTTCACAGAACAATAATGGGTATCTACTCTACCCTGGACGCCAAAGGTGAAGAATAGCATCGGTGCTTGGGATTCAATAGAAAAGACAAGCATTGGTATTTGGGACCTAGTAAACCCGGAGTCACCAGATGAACACAGTGTGTTCTGGGGACTTTATTTAACTCCGATTCGCATGAGCAGAACATGAGTAGTATGTATTTTGGGCCTAATTAACCCCAGATTGACCAGTTGAACACAAGCACTCGTACTGGGGAGCTAACATATTCAGGATTCACCAGTTGAACACAAGCACTCGTACTGGGGAGCTAACATATTCAGGATTCACCAGTTGAACGCAAGCACTCGTACTGGGGAGCTAACATATTCAGGATTCACCAGTTGAACACAAGCACTCGTACTGGGGAGCTAACATATTCAGGATTCACCAGTTGAACACAAGCACTCGTACAGGGGAGCTAACATATTCAGGATTCACCAGTGGAACACAAGCACTCGTACTGGGGAGCTAACATATTCGGGATTCACCAGTTGAACACAAGCACTCGTACTGGGGAGCTAACATATTCAGCATTCACCAGTGGAAAATAAGTACTCGTACTGGGAACCTAGTTAACCGGGATCATCACAGAAAGACAGGCATGTAACGCTGAGGCCATACGACCCTGAAATCATCAGTGGAGGCAAACATTGAATATAAGGGACCTACTCCACACGTATAGAGTAGAGGAGACCTTTTCCACACTAGAATCCCGGTGTAAAGACAAACAGTTGGCACTGAGGGTATACCCTGGCCATGAATCCCCGACAAGGTGTATCATAAGGAGGTAACAATGATTGAGATTTTAACGTGGAAGTCTCCTCTTGGGATAAAAGTATGTGTAACTAGCAACGACTGCAAACAGCCACTGTGGCTGACTCAACTATGGAGGGTTTAACTACATCACCAGATGTTGCTGGTGTTCCTGAATTATTATTCATAAAGAATTAAATTGAATATTTGATTTTTATCCGAGTGATATCGTCTTGTCCTTGTGAATCTTTCGGGCAATAATTTTGACTGCAACATATACAGGACAAAATAAGTTAGAGATATTGGTATTTTTATCATTGATATTTTATCAGTGTGTCATTGAATAAATAGATCATTGTTCATAATTTACATATATCCCAAATACTTTTGTCCAGCATATGTTATATTGGGGATTACACTTTCTCAATAAAGTACAGGTTCTGGCACTTTTGTTAGCTGAGTCCCGTGATTCGAACCCAATACTTTCAGAGCCGGGTACTTTATTCCCAGCACACTAAGTCAGCCATCTCACCCATTCCACAAAAATGGAAGTCGAACAACTGTTCGTCTAGATCACAGACTTTGTGTACCCCTCTAACATGTATCAATAATATCAATGTTGACTGTTTAACAAGAACCTGCTATACATATAGATCTTCTTAAATTAACAAATCAGTTTATCGAGATTGATAATCAGGGTATTGTTACATCAAGTTATCAATGACGCCCTGCCTGCCACCACACATGGTGTCTCCACGGGGGCAGTGTGGTAGCCTAGTGGTTGAAGCGTCCGCCACACCCGGGTTCGATTCCCCACATGGGAACAATGTGTGTAGCTTGTTTCAGGATGTGACTGGCTCATCATAAATATGGGCATCATTGTTTTACCTATTTAGTCAGTTGGTTAAAAGCCCAATATCAGCCCAGGGGCCTTGCCTCTTTACACGCTTCCAGGAAGCACTGTCTAGTCGAACCCACCAAACCAAAAGCGTTTTAGAGAATACCTACTTCCCAACAATGCATGCTCCTGAATTCTGAGTGTCGGTAGGGCTGTGCTCCCAGCGGAAAACCAGGGCACTCTCCTGATCTTTGGCAAGAGATCAGGAGGTACCAAACCAGGGGCACAAAGAACAATGGAAGCCTGACGATAGTGTACTTGGGATGCAAGCAAGGTCATTAGAGATGTTTTTGCTGAATCTTGACAGAATGTTTAATGATATGAATAATTTCAATGGTTTTATCTAGGACAAAATCAGGTTTGATGGCTGTATATGGACCAATTCCAAAGAATTTTGTAATTGACATTTTCCATGAGGCTCTCCACATAATCTGGGTGGTACCCTTTTATTTTGGGAATATAATAGACTCTCCACATTAACAGCATTATAAACAGATTAAGTTGTGTTTAATGTTGGAATGTAAAGCATATAACGTAGTTGTTAAGTAATTGCCTATCTTTGAATTTGGTTCAAATATTGTTCAATATTCAGAGATATTAAACTGTAGTTGTAAATCACGATTTGAAAATTGTTCAAGTTTGTTAGGAAGCCTTGACACATCGGCAACCATTATTGTTTCCTTATTCAGTAATGCAGATATGCATTATGAATGAGCGTACCTGCATTACTGAATGAGCACTGCTCATTTGTATTAGATATGTTGTACTGTATTGTACACGGGAATTTGGAAACAGGGACAATATATTAATAGTACCCTCCAGATACTAGTTTATACCATTTGCATTAATGGACAATCTGCCAAAGTCGACTCCTGCTACACGTATCCTCTAGATCCTGCATTTGTCCCGGGGTACACACACACCTATGTACAGTATCACCTCAACTCTTGTATTCATCTTGAGTTCCAACTGCATCAGCTTCTTGGAGGAAAGCCAGACATCGGATGATGCCACTCTGCACGTTGTTGTGCCATTGGGGACTGCCCCCCATAATACTGAGTAGGTGAAGAGTGACGGTTCTCATGTCTCAGGTACAAGTTGCTCTGGTATTGGACATTTACCAAGGTTTATGGTGCAGGTCATCATATCCCAACCACGTAGATTGATGTTCATGACGTCAATCACTGGATTGTCTGGTCCAGACTGATTTACTCGCAGACCCCTGTGATATAGTTGGACTATTGCTGTGTGCTGCACTGAACCACAAACTATGGCTGAAACCTTCAGCAGGTGTAAGGGTCAATACTCTGGGAGGCTGAATACCATCATTCAGGATCACTAGACAGACATATCAATCTTTTAAAGCAAGACAAGACTGCTTCACACCATATCTGGTTTATTTCATGCACTGAATGTACAGAGACTACAGATGTATGTACACAATATATACAACACATGGCTGGGGAAATATCACCAGATACTCAACACAGTCACCTGGGAGACAATAGCAATGACATAGCAGCTCATTGTCTAACACAATCAAGCCTTCATTCCTGGCGTCAAATCAAGATTATTGTCCCTTTATCTTTAATGTAGCACAGTAAAATATGTTCTAAATTTGTGTCTTCCTCGTGATTTCAAATTAAAAGCATGGCCTGTTCACTGAAAATATGACCTGTGAAAGAGCTTAACTGATTATTTTACTTTTAATCAAACTCAGTGTTAAAATATCTGAGTTTATGGGAATGATAACTTATATTTCAAGATTATTTGCCTGACAAGGGAATTTATTTGAAAATCTACATTAAACCATAACAAAACAATGTTAACTTTCACCAACAGAACAAGATTATCCTAACTGTAAACAAAAACAAGCAAATAAATACTCTAGAATCATGTTCTCAAATGAAAATCTGCTGATTTCTATGTAATGCGATCAAATACCTCACCCACACTACCAGAAAAGGACATTAAGTCCACATACGCACTTCCCATAACCTGCTGGCCAATGGATATTATGCACTGGAAGATACAGACAATGGGTCAGGTCTTCATGAAATGGAGAGTATAGTTAAACATTGTATTATCCAACAGTCCAGCAACGTCTTGGTGTTAGACACCAGAAATGGGCTTCACACACTGTATGCATGAGAATCAAACCCAGGTCTGTGGAGTAATGAGTGAACCTTGAACCACTTGTTTCCCCCAAATCCCAAAGATATGCTGAAAGAACTGCATGATGAAAACAAGACTCATCAACCCCCTGGAATAATGCCAGTTGATCTTACTTAGCCACATATACAATTTCTCATTTTGAGCCGGACAGAACGGGCCTTTACCCTATCACACCCAACTTTACATTGATGAGGATTATTATAATTGGAAGAACCTGACACGCTGTCATACCTAAAGTAAAGCAACAACCAGTTTCTGGACACACAGATACGAATAATTTCAATACAACTCCTAATTAATCTACTATGAGTTCATAAAGCAGTTGATTCTCCCATCATCTCACAGAAATATTTTATTCCAATTAATTGGCTCCCTATTTAATTGGCTTCCTCCACATGTTCTCGCTGTTGTTACAATGGTTTAGTTGTTATTAGTGACTCTACTCATGTTAATCCCTGTCATATACAATTGTTGTTACTGTTATTCCTTCAACCACTACATATAATTCTCTACCATGTTATTCAGCCTTGCTTGTAAATGCTATATTGACCTATACTGAAAAGTTAAAATTACAGTATAATAATAAAACTGTCACCCGTAAACCTTCGTCTACTTTTTATCTCAACACCAACTTTATCTGCCATAAATAAAAATAATCTGTAACAAAATGTATATTAATTCCTTCAACAGAAAACTGAATACTGGTATCGAAACCAATAATGTTATTGTATAAGTGACTGTTTTGGAATAATTAGCACCACAGTATGTACAATGGTTAGCTGTTAGGCTTATGAGATAAAAGTCATATTGCCTCAGCAGCTTGAGTTAGTTGCATAATGCCCAAAGCCGGGTTGAGATAAGTTTCCATATGCCCTAAGCAGCTGTGGACTTAGTGCTGAGTTCAGTCCCCGAGTCTGTTTGTAGGCTGCAGACAAGCTGTTAGTATTATGAGGAGATAGTGTGTTATAGCACTTGAAGAGGAGAGCTTCCAGGAACAACAAGGGTCTAGCCTTTGATGACCCCGATAGGTCGTAGTTTTATTGCCTTCTTGCTGATACCAGCTGCATGACCTGGAACATACACACTGAGTGAGTGAGGGAGTTGGGTTTAAATGAAGCGCATGGCAGCTTAATGTGTGAAAAAAAAAAAAAAGGGACACAGTTCAGAGAGACATAGGAGCACAATTTGTGTCAGTTGACTGGAAATAGCTTGAATGAATTTATGAATCCAAAGGATCCTAGCGATACTAAGGGACATAACTCTATCCAGTAATTTACAATCAGCAATCTCAGAGCTGCCTGTCATTATCAATCTTGGGTTAAACAAAGCTTGCTTGATCATTGTATAAGCAATGTCCACATACAATGATGTACAAACTCATTTGGGTCAGTCAGGACCTATAGTTGCCTCTCACAAGCAGTTAATTACAGAATAATAACATCAATTCTAACCAACACCTGAATATTGTACATAAGGTAAGTTAAAAGTATATTTCAAGAGCAACAGCAGTAACAAGTCCTCATATTGAACTTTTTACACTTCTAATAAGTTTTATGAAATCAACCTTTTAAGGATTTGAAGACCAGCAAAATAAAAACAGCACATCAAACTTACATGTATCCACGACATCTGTCACATTCTTGTAAGATTCTGGAGCCTAAAACAAAAACATTATCATACTATACATAGGAGGAAATGATACCAAGCTTAAAACAATTATATTATTAATGTGCTCAAATGTTTAAATCTTCCATTTTCTCAGAAGGTAAGGCAATAATTATCAAAAAACGAACAAGATTGAACAAAAGTATGGAAATTAGTGATCCTGGTTTTCACTGTATTGGCAACTTTGCAGCTATTTATGGAAAATTTTGGTTCCAGGACAAAATGCATGAAGACAGTCTCTCAATAACATTATTATTGTTATGTTATGTCAGCTTGAATGTACGAGTGAGTGAATATGGTTTTACTTTTACGCTGCTTTTAGCAATGTTCCAGCAATATCACGACTGGGGTCTCCAGAAATTGGGCTTTGCACATTGTACCCATTGAGGAATCAAACCCATGTTTTCAGCATGACCAGTGAATGCTTGAACCACTAGGCTACCCCACCCCCCATTAAGATGTACAGTGAACAACTGTTAGACTGAAGGTCCTGTCGTAAGAGGCGACTAACGGGATTGGGTGGTCAGGCTCGCTGACTTGGTTGACACATGACATCATATCAATGCTCATGTGGTTGGATTGTCTGGTCCAGACTCGATTAATTACAGATTGCCGTCATATAGCTGGAATATTGCTGCCAACAAAGCAACCAACCAATACACCAGCACTCACCTCCTCCATGACAAGTTTGGGGGATGCCACCCTGATGCTAATCCCCTTCTCGTCTAAGGCAGCCAGTACATCACTGTAGTCCAGGTTCCGCCGGGACTTAGCTCGCGAGAGTGCTCTCCCCTGTAACAAAGGACCAGCTTTCTTAGTATTGATCGCCACGAAGTAATGATGTCCCAGAGCTCTTATTACTATGCACTCGTTTCCAGGAATGTTCATGTTCATCAAATTCCTTGCTGATTATTCCTTATTTGTAAACACTGTAATGTAATGCTGAATGAAAGACATGTACTGTATGATTGTGTATATTTTGTAACAGAGAGAAAGCGATTCATCCCAAATTGTAGTAGTGGTAACCATAATAATGTTTCAAACCTGTGCCAATCAAATAATAACATCTTTCTGTTAAATCTTGCTAAATTTCTTAAACATGTGTTTGAATGTATAAAACTAAAGAAAGTAACTCTGTAGAATCTTATGTTATATTGTACATTTGTACTTTGGGTCATATGGCCTTTCTACAAACAAAAATCTTGAATCTTGAATCTTGAAATTCATTGCCATTTCATTTTCTTAGATGATTTCTTATGTTTCCCTTATATACAATAACTTACTTCTAATGCCACAAGACAATGGACATGATACATTCAGAATTATTTCATGATCACACTTTCAGCTGGCTTGGTGAAAGATGGAACCACCACAGATTGACAGACAATGTCAGATGACTGATTTTACTGTGATATAAGTTCACAGCCATCGTTGGTCCCAGTGGGGTCAAAATGTAACACATAAAAATGTCATGACAAGTAAACTTACTGCGCCGTGACACGTTGTGCCAAAGGTTTCGGTCATGCCCTGTTCGGTGCCCGTCAGCACATAGCTGCAGGTGCCCATCGTGCCCCCAATGAGAACAGGCTGGCCCGTTAACTGATCAAAGAAACAATTAATGGGCATGATTAGAAGGGAATAAGCACAACAGAAGACTTGTAAGAAGAATCAGTTGACTAATCAATAACAGATACACAATGCCATTATAGTGCTCAAATGTAACATGCATGTTGTATGAGAAAGTGTAATGAGAGGGTAATGGCACAACAATTTCATGACTAGGCTACACCAACTCAAAAAGCATATATTTCTAATTATCCACTTGAACTGGAAGTATGGAGGGGGAGACATTTAACCACAACACTACCTTCCGAAACAAGCATCCATACCTGATAATCGACCGGAATGAGTGGATGGTGGGGAGGGAAGGCTCGTGTAGATCCCTTCCTGTGCACGAGAAGCGTCTTCTGTTTGCCGTCAATAAAGTGCTCCTCTACTTTGGCAATGTTGTGCGACACGTCATAGATCATATGCATGTCAAGGTCATCTGGAGTCGTCTTGAACATCTTGGCAAATGCCTGTAGCAACATAGAAAAAGTAAACTCTCTCTCCACACATGTACATCAGCAGTGAAAACATGGTTTCTAATGTGAGTGAGTGAGTGAGGTGAAATGGGGTTTAAAGTCGCACTTAAGGATATGTCGCTCATATGATGACGTGCATGCGTGTGCATGTGTGGCTGCATGTACTAGCCCAGACTTGAACTGGTTTTATAGTGCTAGCTCACTGAGATACCATGCCGCAGTAAAACACATTATGTTGACTCCCAGCCGACCAGTCCTTGTTGTACCCACTTGTGTCGAACGCTAGGCAGGCACCAACAAGTACCATATTTTAATATCTTTTGGCATGACACGGCCAGGGATTGAACCCATGACCTTCCGCTCTCTGGTCGGATGCTCTAATAAAAACACCACGGAGGCGGTCGGGTGAGTGAGTGAGTTTAGTTTTACATTGCTTTTAGCAGTATTCCAGCAATATCACAGCGCGGGACACCAGAAATGGGATTCACACATTGTACTCATGGGGGAAATCGAACCAGGGTCTTTAGCATGATGCACGGATGCTTTAACCACTAGGATACCCCACCGCCAAGCAAAACCAAAGAAATACAGGCATTACATTTTCACAGATAAGGTCACATCAAGAGCACAAATGGAGCTGACAAACTGAGATAAGTGGGGGATACAGCTTTGCCCATCAAATTGCAGTGCCAGAGTCCAAAAACAGGGCAGCTCTAAGGTCTGATCCCACGATCAGCAGATCCTGCTACTGCCACATCTATCAGCTCGGCTTTGGTCCACCGACGTATCTGCTGTTTACCTGTCTGGTGAGGAAGGTCATGCTGGTGCGGTTGACCCAGGCGTAGTTGGCGGCGGCTGCCATGTAATTTTTGAGTAAAATTGATATTTTATACTTATCCTGACTCATGCTCTTTTGCTTGTCTTCTCTCTTTCTAACATAGTGGAACACTTGTATCTCCTTAATTGAAGCTCCCTTCAATGTAAAATCACTAATTGGTACTCACCACGAAGTTGCCTCCCTTGCCCTTTTAAGGAACAGGTGTCGCCACCCTCTGGCCTCATGCTTCACTCTCTCCTGATTTTATGAGCCCAACACTTGAATTTACAGGGAAATCCAAAGTGTTATGTGGGAGGATGGAGGGTTAACTCTCATGAGTCAGGATAAGTATAAAATATCAATTTTACTCAAAAAATTACATATTTTCCTTATCCTGACTCATGCTCTTTTGTTTGTAGAATCCTACGGAAACGGAGGTGGGCAAAACAGAATACTTTGGATTTATAGAATTAGTGATTTATATAGATTTAACTGTAATAACTCCCTACGGAACTTCATAAAGGCATAGACTTAGGATAATTCCTCTATTATAAGCCATAGGTTATAATGCCATACTGGGGTATTTACATTATGATATACTGAGATATTATAAACAACAATATCAAAGCCACTTTGATAGAGAAGCTATACCACTGAACATATATACATACTGCTAGAACTCCGTGAGAGTTATAAGCTAGATAATGCATGTAACAATTATGCATATTAATCTCGTGAAGACTACGTGTTAACGCTATTTAGGGACTGTCAACTGCTGTGCGAGGACCAAGGGACCGAAATGGTGAATGCCTGAGACGCCCTCGGTGGTGATATCTCTCAGGTAGTGATTAGCAAACACCATGTTAGATTTCCAAAAGCATCCTTCCATAATTGTATTCAAAGAACAGTTACCGTAAGGCGAGAGTGGAAGCTAACGCCTGATTTCATGGGGATTTGATGCTGTTGAGGGTCCAGTCCTGCTGCCTTGTAGGCTGGCATGACAGTTCTTATCCATATAGATATGGTGGTACGAGACTTCTGTCTGAGTTGTTGCCGACAAGGGAATGAATAATCGCTTGAGAAATCTTCGCTTTGTTTTGGAACGTCAGAAATAGATTTTGAGAGCTCTGACTGGGCATAGAGATAAGTCCAGTGTATCTTGAGATCCGAGAATGGAGGATAATGCAGGGATATGAAATAACCTGTCTGGTTGACCTGGTAGTTGATTTTTGGCGATGAAATCCCATCTTAATCCCAGGTGTGCTGTGTTTTGATTGTCATCAAACTGTATCCTCTCATAATCTAGTGCGTGAATTTCCGACATCCTGGCTGCTGTGGCTAGAGATAACAGGAAAAGCCGCTTTCTGTGAGAGAAAGCTCAAAGTTTGTCGATTCCAGCGTTCATAAGCCTCACTTGTGAGGTGTTGCAACACTATATTCAGATCCCAAGCTGGGGCGTGGAACTTCCGCTTTGGTCCTCCAATCGAAAGCCCGTGAGTAAGGCCAGTAACTCTGGAGTTCTTGTTAATCTAACACCCGCTCTCATGGTAATGACAGAACTAAGCGCCGCAAGATATGTTGACAATGTCGAGCCTTTTAAATGTTTGTTTTGCCGTAAGTAACACAAATAATCTGCCACTTGTGGATGAGTAGCATCTCTTGCTGTAAATCCCTTTATTTACCGCGTAATTTCAAAACTGTGCCACTTGTCGCCGCATAAGTTACGGTAGAATAGCGTAAGGCAAGCGGACCGCTTTTGCCGCCTGGTAGAATACCCTCTTTGTTTAAACACATTTTAATACAGTCCATAATGCGAAGTTGGAATACTTGGGCTTCGCGCACCTGTTTGGTGTGTGGATGTATTAATAGATTTGAGCTTTGGGTAGCTCTAGTGTTGGTTGACCGATTTCTTGAATTAGAATGGGAAACCACGCTCTGGCCGCCAGTAGGGCTGCACCAAAGTGAGTTGGAGGCTCTGTGTTTGTCTGATTTTCTGTAACACTTGAGGTATTATTGCTGGCGGCGGAAACGCTGCAGACGCATTGAGGCCTTCCCAGGATATGCTTAGAGCCGCCGCTGCCCATGCTTGTGGGTCTGGGACTGGTGACACGTAATGTCGGTAGCTGATTGTTGAAGCGCGTTAAATAGATCTACTAGCGCCCCCTATTTGCTTGATTATCTGTGCAAATATTTCTGTATTGAGCATCCATTCTGTCGGTGACGGTTGATGTGGCCGAGAGTGCGCCTGCTAGTACATTCTTGGCTCCGGAATGTGACATGCTCTGACATGTAGGTTTAGATCGTATTAGATCTAACAGTTGAAAGCTTAAAGTCAATAGGTTCAGTGATCTTGTTGAACCTTGTTTGTTCACATAGAACGCCACTGTCGAAGTTGTCGGTATGAATCATTGGCGCGATTCTGTAGAATGTTGCTCCAATGAAGTATGGCGCTGATTACAGCTTTCATCTCTAACATGTTTATATGGAGCTTGCTTTCTTGCTGATTCCATAACCCTGATGTCAGTCCGGGTTGGCTAGATGAGCTCCCCAACCTTGGAGCCACGCTGCCTACATATAGATGGGTTTTGAATTCCTGCTCTTCTAAACAAATACCTTCGCAAACATTCGACCTCCTGGTCCACCATAGTAGATGAGGTCTGAGACGCTTCGTAGACTGAATGGTTGTAGGTCGCCGAGATGTGCATTGATGAAGACCTGTAATGGGCGAACTGTAATCTGCCTGAGACTGTCATGTCTTGGGCTGATGTGAGGAGACCCAACACGCTTCTGCCATTGTCGAGTGGTAACGGAGAGAGTAGAGCTGACGGAATGGTCTGTTGGATCTTGAGCCAACGGTCTTCTGGTACGACGATACGGTTGTGATTCGTGATAAATCGAATGCCTAGGAACTGCAGATCTTGGCGATGGTACTAGGTCCGACTTGAGTAAGTTTACTAACCATCCTAGCTGTGTTAGTAGCTTTATGATGTAGTTTAACTGTAGTTTGAGATGCTGTGGATCTTGATCTACTTGTATCCCGTCAGTCGAGGTAGAACGCACTGCGAGCCCTAGACGCATGTAGATAGGTGACAATAGGTTTCGCTATCCTCGTGAATAGCCAGGGGCTGATGATATGCCTAATGGGAGTACTTTCCATTGGTAATGTAGCCCGCCTAGTGTAAATCTTAGATATTTCCTGGATTCGGGATGTATCGGATATGTAGATAAGCCGCCTTGCAGATCTATACTGGCCATGTAATCCATGGGGCTTAATCAACTGTCGTGAACTCTGAGGAAGGTGTATCATGCTAAACTTTGGTGGTTTGCGAGATAATTCCTGTTGAAAAAGCTCATGTTGTAAATGAGTCTGTATTTCTCCTGGAGTTTTTCTTGGGTACTAGGAAAACTGGGGAGTAGAAGCCTGGTTCGATGTCTACTTGATCTAGTACTTCTATGGCCTGCTTGGTTATGAGTGATGTAACCGCCTCTTTAACTTTGGTAGTTGTTGTGCCTGTAAGCCTAACTTGTAAGGGTTGACTGTCAGCGGAGGCGCGGCCTGTAGTGGGATACTTAAACTGTTGTTGAAGAATGTTGGAGACATAAGGGTCTTTAACATTCCCCAGTTCTCCCAGTGTAGTTGGAGGCGCCCACCCACTTGTGACGGTTGTACTGGAACGGCTGGGGTGGAAGACTCCAGTCGCTCCAACCTGTCTTTCAGCGCTTATAGTTGCGGAACCTCTGGGTGTCCTGCCTCTTCCTGACCCTCCTCTATAGTTGCCATATGGGCTTAATTTAAAAGAATCTTTCCTGGCTGGCTATCTTCCTATCCCGCTTTCTGTAGTCCCGAGAACTTAGATCTCCCTGAGTATCTTTGTGAAGTCTGCCTGATGACGCTTTGCTAGCTGGTCCATCGACTTGATCATAAGGACTTCTCTGGAGTCCTTAGTGACTTCCTTTGGAGACTTTGTCTATTCCTCCGCCAAAGATGTTTGGGGATGACCACGGGCTGTATAGAGTGGAGCTGTAAAGTTCTCACCCCAGCTGCAGGAAGCGAGGAGGCCTTGACGACGAAGCTAAGGTCAGTGCTGCTGAGACAGATGTGAGATGATCTGTAAGGAACTGCTGGTCCTTCTTTGCATCAGTAGGGCCGAGTAGATCATCCTATCATCTTCAGAGGTCGTGATACGTAAATCTGGTGATAAGTGTCTCATTGATCGCTCTAGATCTATTTAGGCCAAAGAACATGCGCCTCGCCATGTTTTCTATCTGCACCAGCTTGCGATCGCCAATCTTGTAGTTCTTGTTCTTAACATCGCTGATCAGCTTGTAGTTTTCATCGATGTCTTGTGCCTTCAGGAAGGGGTCCATGTTGTGCGTGGAGAACTTCTTAGCGGAAAGTTCGGCAGATGTGGAGTCTGCACTTTCGTAGCTTTAATGAAGGCTGTATCTAGATTATGTGGCACCGCAGCAATCGGGTCGATCGGAGGTAAGGTGATGGCGCCTGCATCGCCTTCCTTCATCAGGTATGTCTGCGCTTCTGAGTTGCCACTCTTGGACGGTGAAGATAAATCTAGGTTGTTTACCATCCAATATCTTATCTCAGCGCCTGAGAAGATGATGCCTCCATCATCTTCTGTACCAGCATCGGAGATGAGAGGTTGATGCTCTTCTGATGGTGACCTCTGGGCTGCTATCTCTATGTCGGGTGACACTCGGGAGACCTGAGTGTAGACCTGTGTGCCGACTTGTGTGATGACCCGCGCAGGTGATGTAATGCGGAGATCGGGCGCAGTGAACGGCGCGGAGATCGCCTAGGTGATCTGGCGCCTATGGGAAGACCTAGATCTGCGAGGGAGAATGTTGACGGCTTCGCGGAAGCTCTTGAATAGTCCCTCGACGCCCTTCTGGACGATGACGATCTGTGTGACGGCCTTCGCAGCAGCTTCTCTGCGTCCGACCTGGGGAGCGGCGCTTGACTTCCGCGGACGGCTTCCGTGACGCCTGGTGGTCTGAGTCTGCATCTGAGGACGAGGCCGAGGATGATGACGATCTCTCCCGCCTTCGCGGAAGGCCTTCGCGACGACTGTACATCTGCGCCCTTCGCTGAGGTGGTCTGTGACTTCCTTCTCGGCTGCTTCGCCGTGGGCTGCTACGCTGACTGGGGTGCCTCTGGGTATCGCCTCATGCTGCTCGGCCCTGGGCTGGCTGCTTCCCCGACTGTAGTGGCCTCCATCATGGTCATGATCTGCCGCAACAGCTCGCCTGGGATGGTCTGGCGACGGCGAGTCGGTGCCCTCTCTGGCGATGACAGCTGCTGACCCTCAGGGAAGTCGCCTGACATCAGTGTAGAGGCATCAGGCTGCATGGCGATCTCTGCTGATGTCACTGTAGCTGTCACCGGTCGCTTCTTGTATGTGACGCCAGGGATGATGATCGGCTGATCATCGAGAGGCCCAGTTCGGGCGGCTGGAACAATCTCGCTGAGAAAGTTCTTGACGACTTCGTGACTTCCCCTTAGATGTCGACGCTGCCCTGGGGTCCGGGTCTGCGCTGGGAAGACGCCGGGCCCTCTTTTGACTTTATCTGGCGATGACGGACGCCTGGGGAGGCAGGACGCTTCTTAGTGTTGGCGGACTGCATCCCACGCCCATCTTCCGACGGAGTCTCTTAAGTAAACACCAGACGGGAGGGGCTCCATCGACAGCAGCTGACTGGAAGGGGAACTGGCGTATCGCCATGTCTAACCCTTTGTTTGCGCGACCTATTCGCGGTACGCCTCACGACGCAAAGATATTTATGAAAAGCAGAATTGATAGATTAATGCAGTAACTGCAACGTATCAAACGCACAAGGCGAAAGCACAACTAGGGCATAATACATGGTCAGCAATTGAAAAACGTGAATTGCAAATAGTACAGATTTTCATCAACGTAAATACTAGCTGAACAATCACTTAACTCACGGAATAAACAGTAGAAATAATGATTAAATATCAATGCAAATTAATGAAGGATACTAGCTATACCTCTATAGTAACCTATAAGAGGTAATAAACTAAGAAAACCAAAGGATATAGTGTGTAAGGAGACACAGGCGCTCTCACATCCTGCTCACTGGGCGAAGAAGGAGAGAGTGAAGCATGAGGCCAGAGGGTGGCGACACCTGTTCCCGCCAAAAAGGGCAAGGGAGGCAACTCGTGGTGAGTACCAATTAGTGATTTTACATTGAAGGGAGCTTCACTAAGGAGATACAAGTGTTCCACTATGTTCGCAAGAAGAAGAAGACAAGCAAAAAGAGCATGAGTCAGGATAAGGAAAATTAAAACCAGGTGCCTGCTGTCATTCGAAACAACACCCTGTCAGAACACTGCCCCGACAGAGACCCCTTGTCCACAAGCATGTACCTGTCACCACCTGGTGTCATTTGATACAACACCCTGCCAGAACACAGCCCTGACAGAGCCCCTTGTCCACAAGCATGTACCTGTCACCACCTGGTGTCATTTGATGCAACACTCTGTCAGAACACAGCCCCGACAGAGCCCCTTGTCCACAAGCATGTACCTGTCACCACCTGGTGTCATTTGATGCAACACTCTGTCAGAACACAGCCCCGACAGAGCCCCTTGTCCACAAGCATGTACCTGTCACCACCTGGTGTCATTTGATGCAACACGCTGCCAGAACACAGCCTCGACAGAGCCCCTTGTCCACATGCATGTGCATGTACCTGTTTGACCTGGTGTCATTTGATACAACACCCTCCCAGAACACTGCCCTTACAGAGCCCCTCATCCACAAGCACGTACCTGTTGCCACCTGGTGTCCCATGCCTCGGCTGCCACTGTGGATCATCACACAGACCTGATCCTTGAACTCAATGCCCATCTTCTTGGCCGCATAGTCGTCATAGATCTCCTCCACCACCTGGATCTCAGCGTAATGGTTCCCGGCACCCAGCGTCCCGAGCTGCAGCAGACATGTGAAGTATGATGCAATGATCAAACAGAGCAACATCAAATATGAACATTTCCTTTCGTTTCTTTAGCAGATAATGATAAGAAATTAACTTCTTCATATCATATTTAGTTTTAATCCAACTATTAGCAATATTCCACCAATATCTCAGCATCACGAGCCATTGTCAGACTTGAATGGCTGAAGTAGGAAATGACATGGGTCAAAAACTATCCCACACACATTAGCTGGGAACTTGTATAACATTATGCCACAGAATAATTACCATACAAACTAAAACTTTAATACCAGTACATAAGCATGATGGAATCATTATTGTTCATAAATACACAAGGCAACATATGCAAATCGTCAACATTGTTTGTAGTGCAAGGGGAGACAACTAGGTGTTACCTGAGGAAGGCCCCTCTTCTTTGCTCTGTTGCTGACTTTAGAGGGATCAGCATTGAGCATTCTGCCATACTCCTCACAGTGTTCCTTGTCTTCAGCCCATGCATAGCCTATAACATACAAAACACACATCGTACAGCTTCCATACTCCTCACAGTGAGCTTTGTCTTCAGCCCATGCATAGCCTATAACATACAAAACACACATCGTACAGCTTCCACACTCCTCACAGTATTCTTTGTTTCCTGTCGACACAGCCAACAGAGAAATATCTTTCAGCAATTTCTGATCAACCTAGTTTTAGGCTGCAGTAACATATAGTCCAAACATCATCGTATGCCCCACTGGACTGTACACGTTTGGCCGACCAGATATTTTAAACAGAGGTGTGGGTGTGTTTAAACACTGATAATTCAGGTGTATCAGTAGTAGTTTTACAAGGTAGATTATTTCCAATTTCCAAAATTATCAACGCAACAAAAATACAGTGAGAGAAATGATTGTAGGAAAAAAAGAATCAGCTTATAAAAAAGCTTAGTCAGTATATTGTCAAGGGATTAACTGGCTTCCAATCATGTATAATTGGTATATGGTTACATTAGTTTTGACAGTGGTACCAATAGATCTATATAAGAGTAAAGCATGTCAGTTTGAGGTACTGACTGACTGAGTTTGGTTTTACGCCGCTTTTAGCAATATTCCAGCAATATCATGGCGGGGGACACCAGAAATGGGCTTCACTCATTGTACCCATGTGGGGATTTGAACCCGGGTCTTCGGCGTGACGAGCCAACGCTTTAACCACTAGACTACCCCACCACCCCCAGTTTGAAGTAAGACATAATGGAGGTGATAGAGAGCAACAAGGGTGGCAAGAAGCTTTGCTGGAATGGGTACATGTACACCAGAAACTGTACAAGAAAGAACAAGGTCTGGTGGAAGTGCTCAAAGAAGTCTAGTCTTAACTGCTGTGAACTGATTCTTTTTTTCCTGTTTCTTTTTTTCCTAGCAAAATTTCATTCTTTTTTTCCCGATTCTTTTTTTCCTGATGTTTTTTTTTCCGATTAGCAGAGAAATGATAACATTACAAGAATACACCCAACACAGACGCATGTCCTACCTTCCCTGAGGGACCAATCCATCCCCATTTCCAGAGCCTCCTCCAAGTTTCTGGAACACAGAGACGGAGAGTATAGAAACATGGAATATATACAACAAGCATAAAATGTAAAGTAATTTCTATTGAGGACCAAATGTCAAAAATAACCACCATGTTCTACAAACTATTTGGCAAACACGATCAAGACTAATAATGATTCACAGTGAATAAATGTAACACCTGTTCTATGTTCCTAACGGCTGGCATAATGTATATAATAGAATAAGAGAACACCCAAGAAATGGTGTTCTATGCTTACTGGGCTGTCATGGGTATGATCCCCCGTGATCCGACACCAACTGGGATGTGATCAAACAGGCACTGGGACAGTTGTTCCTTCAGGGGGATCACATCCTTAGCATGGAGATTTGTACGTAGGAGGCGCACACCGCAGTTTATGTCAAAACCAACACCACCAGGGGAGACGACTGCTGTAGGGTCATTCATGTCAAAGGCGGCCATGTTACCTGTTTACATTTACAAACAAGATAATTATCAGTTGGTTTTATGTAGTGAAACTTATCACTATTTATTGTGTAAACGACAAGATAGATTAAAGAATATATTGATACACACTGATCCAAACACTTGGGGAATAACAATGTAGCATCAATAGCATGCGTCATCATCGATTCATCATCGATTCATCATTATCATCATCATCACCGAACAGTTACAAGGTAACCAGAATTTCACCATTTAGCACAAAAATTCATTTGAAAACATGTTATTTCTTTTCGATGAATACAAAACAAACTGCATAATAATCAGTTTGAAGTAAGACATAATGGAGGTGATAGAGAGCAACAAGGGTGGCAAGAAGCTTTGCTGGAATGGGTACATGTACACCAGAAACTGTACAAGAAAGAACAAGGTCTGGTGGAAGTGCTCAAAGAAGTCTAGTCTTAACTGCTGTGAACTGATTCTTTTTTTCCTGTTTCTTTTTTTCCTAGCAAAATTTGATTCTTTTTTTTTCGATTCTTTTTTTCCTGATGTTTTTTTTCCGATTAGCAGAGAAATGATAACATTACAAGAATACACCCAACACAGACGCATGTCCTACCTTCCCTGAGGGACCAATCCATCCCCATTTCCAGAGCCTCCTCCAAGTTTCTGGAACACAGAGACGGAGAGTATAGAAACATGGAATATATACAACAAGCATAAAATGTAAAGTAATTTCTATTGAGGACCAAATGTCAAAAATAACCACCATGTTCTACAAACTATTTGCAACACGATCAAGACTAATACGATTCACAGTGAATAAATGTAACACCTGTTCTATGTTCCTAACGAAGGCATAATGTATATAACAGAATAAGAGAACACCCAAGAAATGGTGTTCTATGCTTACTGGGCTGTCATGGGTATGATCCCCCGTGATCCGACACCAACTGGGATGTGATCAAACAGGCACTGGGACAGTTCTTCCTTCAGGGGGATCACATCGTTAGCATGGAGATTTGTACGTAGGAGGCGCACACCGCAGTTTATGTCAAAACCAACACCACCAGGGGAGACGACTGCTGTAGGGTCATTCATGTCAAAGGCGGCCATGTTACCTGTTTACATTTACAAACAAGATAATTATCAGTTGGTTTTATGTAGTGAAACTTATCACTATTTATTGTGTAAACGACAAGATAGATTAAAGAATATATTGATACACACTGATCCAAACACTTGGGGAATAACAATGTAGCATCAATCATGCATCATCATCGTCATCATCATCATCATCATCGATTCATCATCGATTCATCATATCATCATCATCACCGAACAGTTACAAGGTAACCAGAATTTCACCATTTAGCACAAAATTCATTTGAAAACATGTTATTTCTTTGATGAATACAAAACAAACTGCATACAATAGGATATACATGTTCCTTAAGTACGAGAACATGAGAGACATAGTTGTGACCAAATGACATTCCAGTCTAATCACTGTACACTGAGGGAAGTAGCATTTGGTTCGGTTAACAAAACTAAGTGCATTGTGCTAGACGTTTTAAATCATCTTAAAGTTTGATTCTGTACATGGTAAACACAGAAATCTCGGTCCTGTTTGAGTCCAAACAAATACTATTCATCGAAAACCTTAATGCAGTATTCATGTCATAAAGACGATGCATCATTATAAACATTTCGGTCTTAGTCACATAAGACTGACTGAGTTTGGTTTTACGCCGCCTTTAGCAATATTCCAGCAACATCACGGCGGGGGACACCAGAAATGGGCTTCACACATTGTGCCCATGTGGGGATTCGAACCCAGGTCTTCGGCATGACGAGCCAACGCTTTAACCACTAGGCTACCCCACCGCCCCAGTGACATAAGAATACCTTGAAATAATTGTATTGTTCAAGTAAACATTGTGACAAAAACACCTTGTTCTGTAATTTTACTACTTTATCAATTTTGAGTTTCATGGTCAGTGGATCTGTACACTAAGCAAAACACCATGCAAGGTCCTGTCATGTTAAACTCACCAATAGCAAAGCCATACCCGGAATGAACATCAGGAAGTCCAACCGATTTCTGGAAAACAATTGTTCCACTTTGTTCAAACAAGAAAACATAAAACATTATCATGTGGATGGGTTTCAGATTCTTAATTTATTGCTCTTTTAGTGACATTTCAAGGAAGATTGTTACACAGTCATCAAGCTGGAGAATCTACATTGAAATGTCACTCAATGTTATAAACAAGAAGTCATGATACATAAAGTTGCATGTTATTTTAGTTAATGACTACCAGAATGTTGGTGGAATGTGTACATCAGACAAATCACCCGGTATCTGAAATGTGAAACACAATCGCAACTCAGGGCAAAACTGACAAAACATGTCCACAAAAGAAATATTCTCATCCCAAATTTCTCTATGACTAATACAAAAGGTGGCTTGTAGCTTGAAAACAAAAGAATTTGATCACAAATCTGTAACACAAAAGATATTTAGGATAATAGTCTGTGAAATAATGATAAAACTATGTAATAAATTCTGTTGTTGTTACCAAGGGGATATTACAACTCATTCGAAATGGGAACTACATACTTCAGTTCAGGGACCTTTTGAAGTAGACTTGGGGCTAATTATCAACACTGAAAATACACCAAAATAGATGCCCCCACACCCATCTGAATAATGGCGTAGAGCAGGTAGGTTACCATGGTTACATACCGAGACAATGCCAGGTAATGCAGCAACATTGGCGATCTGCTTCATCCCCGGCAGAAAGCCGCCAAAACCTTTACTGTTACATGAGTGCTTCAACTCATCAAACATCAGCTTCTCTAAGCGGTCATTTGTGTAGAAATATCCATCAACCTGAAACAGGAAATGAAATTATGAATTGAGTTGAGTTTTATAGTATTTCTATGTTTCAGTTCCATAGACATGGTAAGTGAGAGAGTCGGTTATGTTTAAGTCGCTTTGAACAGTATTCCAGTTGTGACAGCTTAATGAGGAAGAACTGTCAAGTACAGATATTAACCATAAAGGGGAACCTTTGTCAAAAAGTCACAGGTTTCTAGTGTGCCCAGGGCACTCACGTCTCCCGAGCCTTGGACATTGACATGGTAATTCTTACTTTCATATTTTCCACAAATCCCTTCTTGATGTGCCAGCAGTTGCCGGAGATTTTCTCCAAGTACTTGAGTTCATCGTTATATGTCCTCATGGTGGTACCAGCTTGATGTAGTCTATTTGCAAAAACTTAAATCATTAATCACCATCCAAAAACCACAGGGGCTTGTAACAGTAAAAACTGCCATCAAGTTATGTACTGTCACTAACAGGGTCTTAGCACTATATAAAAAGGAAAGGGATGAAACGAGGTCAACACACCAAGTTTGTTTCAGGGCGAATTCAACAATGCTCACTTATCTATCCCATTTAAAGTATGCACACAATTCAAGCCAATAGATTTACCTACAAAACAAGACAGAGAGCACAAAAATCGAAGCAGTACTTTGGGAGCTAGAGTCTTCGGAAGCTCGAAAAATCGTGATTTCTCGATTCCCGAGACAAAATCCCTGCTCATGATTTGTAGCCGTAACCCATTTCTTGTTTATTTCACAGTATACACAAACGACATGCACCAAAACATGTTGAACTCATGGCACCTGTCAATCAATCAATCAAAACTTTATTTCCGTACAAAGGCCATCAGGCCCATATACATACAGTTTCATACATTATAATACAATTTGCATATACGTGTATGTATAGTATGACCAGAAATTATTGAGAATTTTAGGAATATGTAGTATTTCTAGTATAAACAACCATGACCAGCTATCAAGTGCTTGGTTTCATTCAAGAGAGACAACTCTGTTAATCCTTTTTCATTAGTTTGTGAAGAGTTATCCCCCTTTGTTTACTTGCTAGCAGACGACATTTTCAGTGATCCTCAGTATGGATGATTTAGAGAAGCGGATGTTGATTTTAGAACAAGGACATCAGATCAGCTGAAGTGATTTCAAGTAGAACAGGCATCCCTTTGTCCACTGTTTATCGTGTTTTGAAAGATATAGCGAATGGATATGGCATTGAGCACCAGGGAGGCGCAGGTAGGCCCAGAAAATTAATTGACTGTCGGTGACAGGAGGCGGCTTAGTATTCTTGTTTCTAAAAACAAACGAAGGAGTTTAGAAAACTTAAGGCTGGATTTGATTGATAGAGGAACTATGGCTGTCTGTAAGGAGACAATTAGAACTGAGTTGCATGCAATGGATTGGCAGAAAAGTCGATGAATTCCATCACCTATCATGAAACCTGAACAAAATGAGCAAAGGTTGAACTGAAATTTTAATTGGGACAATGTGATTTTCTCAGATGAAAGTTCTGTGTGGCTGTTTCCTAATACACTGAATTTCTGGACCAATCAAGCTGAAAAACATTTGTATCAGCGCCCAAAGTACAGTCAGAAATTTAATGTGTGGGGTGGCATATCTGTGTTAGGGGCAAGGCCCCTCTGTGTAGTTGAAGGGAATATGAACAGTGAGCGGTACACAGATATTCTCGAGGGACATTTACTTCCATCTGCTCACGTGTTCTATGGATATTTTTGGATTTTCCAGCAGGAGAACGACCCAAAACATCATTCAAAGCATTCACAGGCCTGGTTTCGGACCCAAAATATGACATTATTAGATTGGCCAAGCTATAGCCCTGACCTAAATCCAATAGAAAATGTTTGGGGACTTATGAAGGAAAGTGTCAATAAGAAAAATCTGACAAATATTGCTGAAATGAAAGAAGAGGTGGTCCGATATTGGGACAGCAACCACAAATTTCTAACTTCTTTGATCAGTAGTATGCCTCGCCACATTGAAGCCTGCATTGCTGCCCATGGTGACTTGACAAAATACTAACTGTTCACCTGTCTTTGAATCTGGAGTTATGTTCTGCTAATATTCACATTTAATAGGTGAGTAATGACTGAAAAGAATAAAAAAATTACAATCTTTAAATTCTCAATAATTTCTGGTTGTACTGTATACTCGCCCATCTGCATACATGTATACAGGTAATCTGAACATACGATACAGGCTTATATGGATAAGTAGATAAAGATATGATATGATAATACAAAAGTATAATATGGTATTTAATATTATCATTCTTGTGATAGCTTATATCTTCGTTCATAAGAATGCATTATATATAGGCTGAGCATTTTCAAACTATGTACGTCATTTGTCATAAGTAGTTTCTTAAAGTTATGCATATTCGTTTTGAAATCACTTGGTAAATATTTACGACGTAAGTCATCATATCTAGGACAAATGAAAGTAAAATGGTATTCGTCTTCTAGACCTCCGTAACAGATAGGACATGTTCTCAAATTTGCTTATTTTACACCATCGTCCTTCATTAAATTTTAACCTTAGTAATCCTGCTCTAAATCTAACTAAATATTTACGTAATTTATAATCTGCAATTTCAAAAAGGTATTTTTCAGGGTTTAATAAGCTTTTGAATTCTCTATACAAAACATAACGTGTGCTATTGTCAAGATTGGATCTCCAGTTTTGTTTAAAAACATCCACTAAACGCGTTTTAAAGATTCCGATAAAACTTACACAATTTCCAACAGTTTGTGATAACCAAACAAATCCAAATCCATAAGAAAAGAGCAAATAGCGAATGTTTGAAGCTCATGTCTCATAGCCAAGGTTATCGAGATTAAGACATTTCATAAGCTTTCTTTGGTATGCGATCATTGTGCATTGTTATTATTTTAATCCAGTAGTTAAGACAACGAACAGCTGCATTTACAAAAATAGGGAAACGGCCACATTCACCATACACAATAGCGTTAGGTGTCTGAGGTCCAACGTTTAGGTATAATTTGCAAGCCGAAAGATGTATTTTCTCAATACATTCATATTTTTTATATCCCCACATTTCTGAAGCATATAATAGGATAGATTGTATTTGACTATCAAATATTTTGAAAAAGATATCTGGTGATAACGAACCGATTTTTCTAAGGTTGCCATTTAATTCCATTGATGCTTTTTTACCACGCAAGGAGAGATCGGATAACGATTTGCCCAAGCTAACATTACACGTGAATAGAAAACCGAGATACTTATAGCTATTGACCATCTTTAAGTTATTACCTTGAAAGTACCATGCATCAGTACTTTTAAGTCTACCTCCCCTCCTGAAAACAACAATATTAGATTTATCAAGGTTAACGCTTAAACCCCACTTATCTGAATACAATGATAAAATATGTAATTGATTTTGAAGACCACATTCAGTATCTGAAGCTAAAATAACATCATCAGCGAAAAGTAGCATAATAATTTCTATCATATCAGGAAATAACTGGATGCCGTGTTTTCCATTTTGTGAAATTTCAATAGAAAGTTCATTTATGAACAGAGAAAAGAGTATTTGACTCAGCATACAACCTTGTTTTAGACCAAAAGGTCAGTTAAAGTAGTCTGTTAAATGTGAATTACATAGCACACATGATTTATCGGAGAGTAAATACCTTTAAGCGCTAGCATCATTTTCCTACCCAAGCCGTAGCTTGATAATAAGCTCCATAATTTAAATCTGTCTATTGAATCAAAAGCCTTTTTAAAATCTATGAAAGCAACAAACAATTTTTTTCTCTTTTTACATAAGCATTTTTCAATAAACGCATTCAACGTGAAAATGTGATCTATGGCAGAATAACCTCCTCTAAAACCCGCTTGAGTTTCTGATATCTTATTCATGAAAATTGCCAATTGTGTTAAACGAGTGTTTAATATGCTGGTATATAAACTACTTAAAATACTTAGCAATGAAATGCCCCTCTAGTTATCTGGGTTGTGGATATCACCCTTCTTATGTAATGGAATAATTATTGCTTTACTCCAAGCATCTGGAAAGCTGCCACTCTCAAATAGTTTATTACATAATACGAGAAGAAATGGCATAACAACCTTTTCCGATGATTTAATCATTCCTGCTAGTATATTGTCGACACCAGGCGATTTACCAATTTTTAATTTTTAACCGTTTAATAGCATCAAAAATGTCTTCTTCTTTAATTGGAGAATCCAAAATCGGTTGATTCAGGACATATATGTGCAGCACATGTAACAAAAGTATCTTGATCTTGATCAGTAAGATCAGTTTTATCATACAGTAATTTGAGGTGATTAAACCATGATTCATCAGAAATATCGGGTGGTGGTTTCCTGGGATTAGATATATTTCTCAGTTCCTTCCAAAATGATTTAGGATTGTGTCTAGAGTTATATAACTTTCTGGCTGTTAGCTGTTGGTTTATTCTTTTCCACTTCCTACATTTATATTTATAAGTATTTCTGAGTATGCCATATTTCTTTAAATTTAGGTTGTTTCTATCATTTCTAAAGCTCTTAAAACACTTTCTTGCCTCTAATTTAGCCCCATGGCAATCACTACCATAGAAGTTCTTAGGTCTAGTTTTACATTGAGGTGGCATTTTCATACAACCTGCCGCTTCTAATATACAATCTGCAAATTTGGAAACAGCATTATTAATGTCAATTGAAATTTCATCTATGAGTAAGTCCAGTACATGCTTTCTATCATATATATTACATACAAATATTTGTTCATCACATGATTTCCATTTATATTGTGGGATGCAATCATTTTCCAGTTGTTGATCATAATTGCTTTTTACACTTTTGAAACTGAGTACCAGTGGCATGTGTTTGCTTTCAATTCTATCACATATTTTGAAACTAAAAAAGTACTTGAATAAATTAGGAGACGAAATAATATAATCAATAACACTACAGCCCTGGTCAGAAATGTACGTGAACTGACCTCGTTCATCACCTTTCACACGTCCATTAACTAGAAACAACTTAAATTTTAAAAACATAGCAAAAGTTCAAAAGTAGATTCCCAAATCTATTTACAATAACATCCTGAGATGACCCATTCTCTTCCCACAGAGGTTACTTGTCATATCTTCCTACGAACCTCTGTTCTAATACGGCCATATTTCCCGGTTCTCGTAAAATCCCCTAGCGGCAAAAGATCGCAACACGAATTATCTCCCTTCTTTCTATCCAATCAGAACACGTGTTACATCGACTTAGATTCAACTTGACTAACACAAGCAAATGATGGGCCACAAATATCCCCATTTGCCGGGGACTTGTGTTGATGTTACACACAAGACGTTTAATGGCTAGCTTGTCCGTTGTCAACGAGGGCGATGGAGACGCCACTGATCTGCCATAACATGACTGAGTTCTGTCTAGAAGAAACGTTTGCGCATCGCGCAGGGGAAGACGTTTAGTTTTCTCGAAGCATACGGAAATTACCAAGGCCTTGCGAATGATCACTTTTGAAACAACATCGCTGATTGCACAAATAAATCTGATTGCCTCCAATCACGAGTCTTGAACGCTCACACCATGAAAGGGCTGTATTAGAACAGAGGTTACCTAGGAAGATATGACAGGAGTAACCTCTGTGGGAAGAGAATGGAGATGACCTGGTGTCTATAGGTACTGGTTCATCTTCAGGAAAATAGTGATCAATTCTATCATCTGGAGCGTCAGGTGGCTGATTACCATCTCCAACACGAGCGTTAAAGTCACCCATAATATGAATATCACAATCAGTCATATAATGGGGGTTGTCTAACAACCACTCTTCTAATTGATCAAACAGGGTACATGTTTGTACTTTCTTAGAGAATGTTGAACCTTCTGGTGGAACATATACAGCAAAAAGTAAAATATCTTGTTCGGAATTCAACATATGTTTGTTTAAGCGTAAACAGATAACATTTGATATTGTAATAGATATCTCTGAACAATATTGTGACAATGAATTCTGTATAAACATGTACGCTTTACCCCTGAAAGCCTTCCAAAATTAGACAATTTATGAGCTTTACAAAAATACAAGTGAAATTCAGATAACTCTGGTATAGTGATCAGATTATCAACAAAAGTCTCGTATAGGCATATTATGTCAAACTGACCTAGGAAGGCTAAGAAATCTGAGTCTTGTAACTTGCTCTTTAGGCCATCGATATTCCATGAAAGGAATGCAAAGGGAACAAAAGAGATGTTATCGTAGAAGTCACTACGATTTGTGTCATCACAAGGCGTGTGTTGGTCATCCGTGTCATCAACAGGTGTTTTTAACCATGGTAACTGGCCACAGGCCCGGCCGATTTCCTATTGTGATGACATTGTAGGAGCGCTTCTTGTTGTGGGTGTAGGTGTGGGTGCAGTTGTGTCGACGTTGTCCGATTGTCAACAACAAAGCTGACGTTGTTCAGGCGTCTCATTGCCCCCTGTGAAGTTCTGTTCAAACTGACGGTTTCTTGACTAGGTAGCCCAGTTTTCGGTTCCGTAGAGGAGTGATCTTTCGGTCGGGTAATCAAACGTCCGTTCTTGTAGTGGGCAATGAGACCTTTATCTCTATGTTCACTGATTGTGTCACGTTGACGTTTCGTCAGATCATTTGATACTCAAATTGCAGACTTCTGAAGTTCTGGACGGAGTTTTAATTCGCGGATTTTATCCTCAAACACAGCAAATTTGACAATGAGGGGGCGTGGTCGTTGATTGTCACGTGTCAATCCTACAGGGCGGGGTGCGCCCGTAGAATCCCCGCTCTTTCCCAGGTGCGACGAGAATGCTTGTTTAACACATTTAACACAGTGTCTCTACAGTTCTGATATTTCTCGTTTTGGCTCTCACTTATGTTGTAAAATACCACATTGTTTCTACGACTAAAGGTCTCAAGCCTATCCAGGGTCTCAGCTTGTTTTTTAACTTGATCCTTCATAGATGACTGGTGACGTCACCAATGCACAGATGTAAACAATCACTATCCGTAGGTAGGAGATACTCAAAGTTTTGGTATGACTGGGCTACAACATTCCCAAATCTCATCATAGCCAGTGAGAGAGACAAGTACACCGTAAAAACACTGCACAAGCACTCAATCTATACGTGTAGTGAAAAATGCTACTTTGCTGTGTGTCAGGTGAATACCTGCCAACATGGCCTACCTGGCGGGTCCCGGGTGGGTGTGAGAAAGTCCCGATTCTAGCACGGTACAAGGCTAGGTCGATCATCTTTCGGGTTAGAACTGATCTCCGGTGTTTCAGAAGTGAAGTAGACGTAATTGTAACGAGTGTTCTTTCTTTTTTTCCATATATTATAGGCACTTCTTCAACAGCTGCATTGCTATGCGATCTATGGCAGGGGCGTGTAACTCTCACCTGTCAGCGTGCTAGATGCCATTCTTTCGCAGACACTTACACCTCACTGTCATAATGAGTTTACATACATTTATTCATCGCAAACAGAATTGTGTCGTGCACGTTTGCCATTGACGACCTTGGCCTTAACCTGCCCCGCACTGAAAAGAGTCAGCTATCTGATGGGACATATTTTATTTAAAGCTTAGTGCGGGGCAGGTTCGCCCTGAAACAAACTTGGTGTGTTGACCTCGTTACATCCCTTTCCTTTTATCATGTTTATATATAGTGCTAAGATACCGTTAGTGATAGTACATACCTTGATGGTAGTGTTTAGCGTTACAAGCCCCTGTGGTGACCATGGTGACAATAACAATTATACGCCATGGTTACAAGGATATTGTTCTTACTTTGACATGTTTGAGAACAGATATAGGGAGAGACTTCCTTACGTACCCCCCGCCTATTTTGTGATGAGCAAACACTATAGTTTATATAGTTTAAAGTTAGGTTAGGGGGTGTTACGTAAGGAACTCTTACCAGATATAGCTTCAGTGTAGGTATGATCAGATTGTTCTATACATACACCTGAATAGTTTTTGACAGGGTTCTGGTAAAGCAACTTCCAATCAGCCATTTAGTATCAAACTGAACCATGTTATGGGGTAGTTGATGTTCCTGGCATGTTTGATTCATAAGAAACAGACCCGTGAAGATCAGGGGTAGAATAGGTCTTCAGCAACCCATGCTTGCCACAAAAGGCGACTTTGCTTGTCATAAGAGGCGACTAACGGGATCGGGTGGTCAGGCTCGCTGACTTGGTTGACACATGTCATCGGTTCCCAATTGCGCAGATCGATGCTCATGCTGTTGATCACTGGATTGTCTGGTCCAGACTCGATTATTTACAGACCGCCACCATATAGCTGAAATATTGCTGAGTGCGGCGTAAAACTAAACTCACTCACTCATAAGAAACAAACCAAACTTTCAAAGTCAAATCCTTTTTCATCAATCTAGTCTTAAACTGTCTCCATGGAACAATATGTCGGAGTTTGTCCATATAACAAAAGAAATAAGTAACCACAAGAGCTGAATAATCAAAATATCTAAGAAATCACAATATCAAAGACATGGAATATGGACATAGACTCGATAGAGATGAATAACTGTCATCTAATAATGATCTGTGTGAGACAGTTTCACTTTTTACACCGTAACATTCGCGCCATTTCGTGGGAAAATCAAAGAGATATTTAAGGGACTTATACTCACCTCCAAGTCAAATGAACACAAGTACATTAATGTAATTCTGTAACAGCGTGCCTATTCAGCATAACGTGCGCGAAAACCGAAACAAAATAAAATCAACATGGCGGCCCGCACTTAGAGCAAACGTGTTGTGTAATAACGCAACGGAATTAAGTTTAACACGTATTTCATGAATTAATATTCAGGTCAGCTCCAGCTACAAAATACAAATATGACCATATGACTTGTCAGTCCATTTTATATGTTAAAGCAGCGGTAATATCACGAAAACTTACTTCGCCGAGTACGTTGACTATCTTTCAGTTTGCTGACTCGGCAGCCGAAGAACCAAAGAAGGGAAGTAACTCTTGAAACCCGCATTGCGTGGATGATGATTTAGAAAGTTACATACTGAGTTGTTTACAGTAAACTATGGTATAACGAACTCATATGGACCCCTGATTCTAGTTCGTTATAGACATGTTAAGGGACAACAAAATACATAAGATATATGCCGTGGAGGGCTTGACTTCAAATAATTTCTAATTTTCTTCTCAAAAACAGAAAAAGAAAAGCAATTGGAATCAGAACATTTACTCAATATTAATATTTGCAGTCGCATGAAGGGTATCTTCCCATAAGACAGACCTCCCAAAAGACAGACCGCTTAAAACAACACATTTTATGGTTGCTTGCATAAGGCTTAATTAAGCTGTACCCTGAATAATAATGGTATGTGCCCAGATAAAAGGTTTTATTAATTGATGTAAATTAATTATGATTTTTAAATTAAGATATATTGCATCAACATATATATGTACATCAACATATATGTTCACATTTACTTGTGAATATTATCAAAACAATCATTTATATACATGTACATATGAGACCAGGCACTGCACTTACAGCAAAACGTGTTGTGTAATAACGCAACGGAATTAAGTTTAACACGTATTTCATGAATTACTATTCAGGTCAGCTCCAGCTACAAAATACAAATATGACCATATGACTTGTCAGTCCATTTTATATGTTAAAGCAGCAGTAATATCACGATAACTTACTTCGCCGAGTACGTTGACTATCTTTCAGTTTGCTGACTCGGCAGCCGAAGAACCAAAGAAGGGAAGTAACTCTTGAAACCCGCATTGCGTGGATGATGATTTAGAAAGTTACAAACTGAGTTGTTTACAGTAAACTATGGTATAACGAACTCAAATGGACCCCTGATTCTAGTTCGTTATAACCGTAGTTCGTTATACGCATTTCAACTAAAATATACATCGAGTTGCCAAGACAGAAACATCCGAAGGTGGTTTAAACGAAACTCTAAATGCAATAAAACTGGACTTTTCTCATGAGACTGTTATAAAAATGAAGTTTTTACGTTTCCTATAAGAATCGAGACATGTTAAGGGACAACAAAAATACATAAGATATATGCCGTGGAGGTCTTGACTTCAAATAATTTCTAATTTTCTTCTCAAAAACAGAAAAAGAAAAGCAATTGGAATCAGAACATTTACTCAATATTAATATTTGCAGTCGCATGAAGGGTATCTTCCCATAAGACAGACCTCCCAAAAGACAGACCGCTTAAAACAACACATTTTATGGTTGCTTGCATAAGGCTTAATTAAGCTGTACCCTGAATAATAATGGTATGTGCCCAGATAAAAGGTTTTATTAATTGATGTAATTAATTATGATTTTTAAATTAAGATATATTGCATCAACATATATATGTACATCAACATATATGTTCACATTTACTTGTGAATATTATCAAAAACAATCATTTATATACATGTACATATGAGACCAGGCACCATATTATTTTACATCCGTTCACAGATAACACTAATTAGAAAGTCACTTGAACATCATCAGAGACACTGGTAGGGAACTTGGTTACAGTGAGAGTGGAGTCTTTGTGATTTTTGGGACAGAAACTTTATGATTTGTTACAGAGTCTTTGCATTGATGGTAATTAAAATGGTAATTATAGCTTTAGTTTGTGGTATTAAAGACTATAATTTTCCTGATCAACACATAATATCATCTTTATAATTTACTTGACCCGTGAAGATCCGGGGTAGAATAGGTCTTCAGCAACTCATTCTTGTCATAAAAGGCGACTATGCTTGTCGTAAAAGGCGACTAACGGGATCGGGTGGTCAGGCTCGCTGACTTGGTTGACACATGTCATCGGTTCCCAATTAAGCAGATCGATGCTCATGCTGTTGATCACTGAATTGTCTGGTCCAGACTCGATTATTTACAGACCGCCGCTATATAGCTGAAATATTGCTGAGTGCGGCGTAAAACTAAACTCACTCACTCATTATAATTTACTTGAATAAATCTAGCAATAGCATAGATATCATTTTATCATAAGTTGCAATGAAAGTCATTTTGATAATAAAAATAAAGAAAACATCAAAATGAACAACCCTCGAAGAATTAAATATTCACAACGAATTATGTCTTCCACATAAAATTGTGTCATATATATCAATATTTCAAAATCAATTTCACTAAAATAATATTTTAAAAATGTCACAGAGTCTTTAACACTGGTAACGGAAGGGTAACGGAAAATTTGAGATTGACAGATGATTGTAACAGAAAATCATTTTGTGTTCATTCAGATAAGGCAGGAAGTTGATATGTTGTATATAAACATTTACTTGGCCAATAAATGGTGTGCAACCAGAAATTATTGAGAATTTAAGATTGACATTTTTTTTTTCACTCATTACTCACGTATTAAATGTGAATATTAGCAGAACATAACTCCAGATTCAAAGACAGGTGAACAGTTAGTGTTTTGTCAAGTCACCATGGGCAGCAATGCAGGCTTCAATGCGGCGGGGCATACTACTGATCAAAGAAGTTAGAAAGTCGTGGTCCATGCTGTCCCAATATCGGACCACCTCTTCTTTCATTTCAGCAATATTTGTCCGTTTTCTCTTTTTGACACTTTCCTTCATAAGTCCCCAAACATTTGCTATTGGATTTAGGTCAGGGCTATAGCTTGGCTAATCTAATAATGTCATATTTTGGGTCCGAAACCAGGCCTGTGAATACTTTGAACGATGTTTTGGGTCGTTGTCCTGCTGGAAAATCCAAACATATCCATAGAACACGTGAGCAGATGGAAGTAAATGTCCCTCGAGAATATCTGCATGTGTACCGCTCACTGTTCATATTCCCTTCAAATACACAGAGGGGCGTTGCCCCTAACACAGATATGCCACCCCAGACGTTAAATTTCGGACTGTACTTTAAGCGCTGATACAAAGGTTTTTCAGTTTGTTTGGTCCAGAATTTCAGTGTATTAGGAAACAGCCACACACAACTTTCATCTGAGAAAATCACATTGTCCCAATTAAAATTTCTATGCTGTAAGCACCAGTTTTCGCTCCTTTTGTTCAGGTTTCATGATCGGTGATGGAATTCCTCGACTTTTCTGCCAACCCATTGCATGCAGCTCAGTTCTAATTGTCTCCTTACAGACAACCACAGTTCCTCTATCAATCAAATCCAGCCTTAAGTTTTCTAAACTCCTTCGTTTGTTTTTAGAAACAAGAATACTAAGCCGCCTCCTGTCACCGACAGTCAATTAATTTTCTGGGCCTACCTGCGCCTCCCTGGTGCTCAATGCCATATCCATTCGCTATATCTTTCAAAACACGATAAACAGTGGACAAAGGGATGCCTGTTCTACTTGAAATCACTTTAGCTGATCTGATGTCCTTGTTATAATACTCTAAAATCAACTTCCTCTTCTCTAAATTATCCATACTGAGGATCACTGAAAAAATGACGTCTGCTAGCAAGTAAACAAAGGGGGATAACTCTTCACAAACTAATGAAAAAGGATTAACGGAGTTGTCTCTCTTGAATGAAATCAAGCACTTGATAGCTGGTCAAGGTTGTTTATACTAGAAATCCAATTAAACATATCCCTAAAATTCTCAATAATTTCTGGTCATACTATACATATATGCAAATTGTATTATAATGTATGCAACTGTATGTATATGGGCCCGATGGCCTTTGTACGGAAATAAAGTTTTGATTGATTGATTGACAGGTGCCATGAGTTCAACATGTTTTGGTGCATGTCGTTTGTGTATACTGTGAAATAAACAAGAAAATGTGTGAGTTACAGCTACAAATTCTCAATAATTTCTGGTCATACTATAATTATTTATGTGCTTGAGAACATTCTTAATTTCTCTAACAACTCAGTTCTCTATACTCAGTATTCACTAGTAAACTAGGAGATAGGAGTGTGTTGTTACTATACTCTGTTGTGACTCTGGGTCAGCTATTAATTAAATAGCTAGGGGTGTACAGCCAATTAGTGTATTCATTGAGTCTGTCTTATGGGAGGTCTGTCTTTTGGGAGTGAACCGCATGAAGTTGGGACGTACAATATTGAACAGCCATCATGGACAACAACTCTTTTATTTCTTGTACTCTTGTCAAGCAGGAATGCACGTCACCGTAGCAGGGAGAATAGATTATCCCTGATTGTAGTGATCTTGGTTCGAACAGCGTTGCCAGGAAACAGGAACTTTACTGATCGGGTGTAGATACTGACTGACTGAGTTTGGTTTTACGCCGCTTTTACCAATATTCCAGCAATATCACAGCGGGGGACACCAGAAATGGGCTTCACGCATTGTACTCATGTGGGGATTCGAACCCGGGTCTTCGGCGTGACGAGCCAACGCTTTAACCACTAGGCTACCCCACCGCCCCATGTGTAGATAGTGATGTCAGCAGTGATTTAACCTTCAAGACATTTGGAAAGATATAAAACAAAGGTTTGTATGTATCTCTGCCAATTACTGGGTAAACGACATTATTAAAGACTATAAACGGAAATACAAACGAAAATCAAAGTGGACAACCTCAATTTGAAAATATACGTTTAAATTTCTTTCAGGAAACAAAAAGGCAGAAAGTGCTTCCAATCTAAGCACGGAGGACGGGAGAATCAAATTGTGTGAAAATAATCGACACACCGTCGTCGAAAATACATTGTTTGGTAATTGAAGACAATCTCGAGAAAATTATCACAAAATAAAGAAAAGTCTGAACAAAAACTTGCTAACTTTACATGGATGTGTAACTGTGGTTATCTAATCAGATTCTCTTACATATTTTGTTTCAAAATTCCTTTTTTAGCAGTTGCATGTATATGTGTAAGTTAGCGGTGGGATGGCCTTGTGTTCGCTTGTCACGGTTAACGCGATTTTAAACACAATCGGTGAAGCGCATTTGTGGTGTCACAGTCGTGTTATTGTAGGTATATTGCTTAAATCGGTGATAAACAAATAC